CTCCTTGTTCCTTCCTCCCCCCTCTTTACTACCTTTCCCGCCTTCCTCCTTTCCTCTTCTTCTTCCTTCCCTTTTCTCCCTTCCTTTCTTCTCTGGTACAAAATAAAGACTTAACTAAGTGCTGGGAATACAGTGAGGAACAAAAACGACATAAAACCCTTCCTTGTGGAAGTTAGTTTTTTGGAGCTAGAAAATATTATCTACTCTGATACGTGTAGGGAGCAAACAGGCGTCCATGCGTGCGAAGGGCATCTCATCTACTTGGGGGAAAAGGGGGGATTTCACAGAGGAGGAATATTTCGAAGGATCTATCGGACACGGTAAATGATGTGGTGAAGTTACTTTAAGAGAGGAAGGAATTATAGATTATGTGAAAAACTTGGATCTGCAACTGCAAAGAATGATTTACTTGAAAGAAACAGGGAAAATAGGTGAAGAGTTGGCCTTTAAATGAAAATGTTTAGGTTGGTTTTGACTCTGTTGAGTGTGAAATGTTGATAGATCTGGTTTCACGGATTGCTTTTGGACCTGTAGGTTGATAATGATATGAAGTGCGTCTTCGTTAGAAAGGAAATTCGCCTGTAGCTTGATAACCTTAACTTCATTTTATTTTACTACAGTATCATTTTTTATCTTAATCCTCTACTGGCATTTATTTCTGATCTAACTGTAAAAATTCATAGATTTTTATCTTTCAGAATTACCAGAAAGAACTGGAATTTTATATTTATTGATAAAATTAAATTGAAGTAAAGAAAAGGGTTAAATAGAAATAACACATGTCCTTTAGCATTCAAAAATAACAAGAATGAGTTAGTTTGAGACTCAGGTCTACCTGTGAGGTTGTAATTACTATTTGTGTATTTTTTTTCTGAGATTTACATCTAAATGAAAATTTGAATGATGAAAATATTATACATAAAAAATTGAGTCAGTTCTCTCCACATTATCAATGACATTACTTTTTTAAAAAAACTTTTCATTAAGAAAAATTTCAAACATACACACAGAGAAAGGCTAAAATAATGAATCATCCTTGTCTTCTTCACTCAGCTTCAGTGATTCTCAATTTCTGGCTAACCCTAACCCCAAATTATTTTGGTGAAAGTATCAAAATCATACCATTTAACCTGGAAAAACTTCATTATATATCTTAAAAAGACAAAGAGTCTTTGAAAAACATATCCAGGATAATAGTAAGATACCTAAATAGTAATAATTCCTTGATGATATTCATTTTCAAAGTTATTGTTTTAAACTTTTAAAAATTTAATAACATAATTGAAACATTTGACATTAAATGAAGTGAAGCAGTTATATTTTTAAAGTTTTCTTAGTATCTATACTAAGATATCTATACTTGGATCTGTATCTGAATGATCAGAAGCTACCTGCACTTGGTCAATAATTTTCTAACATGGTGGTGCGAAGCCCACGTACTCCAGTACCGGTAAAGGTCATTTAGATTTCAGGCTCCCTTTCCCTCACGTAAAGAATTAACTGTGTAGCCCTCAGCAGGTGGCTCGGTTGGTTGGAGCATCATCGCGACACCAAAAGGGTTTTGGGTTCTATTCCTGGTCAGGGCACATACCTGGGCTTCAGGTTCAACCCTGGGTCCGGGCCTGGACGGGAGGCAACCAGTCAGTGTTTCTCTCTCACATCATGATTCTCTCCCCCCCCCAACCCTCTCTTTCCCTCTCTCTAAAAATCACTAAAAACATATTCTCAGGCGAAGGGGGAAAAAAAGGAACAATTAACCATATAAACTCTTATGCAATAATATATTAAGTAATTATTCACAGGAACAGGAATGTGGGCCGGAATGTTGGTTCGTCTCTGGGGTAGAGGCCGGGGTAGAGCCGGTTGCCTTCCCTGCCGTCGCACCCAAGGCCCGCGGAGCTTTGCGTCGCCCACTTAGAAAGAGCAGTGAGCCGTAGCGGGGGGACTGCGCTGGCCCCTCTCGGTGTGGGAGGACGCGTGCCACCTGGTGGAAGCGTGTGCATTTTCACACCGGGAGAGCCGCCTAGTGCGGCCTGGTGCGCGGCTCGCCTGGCCTGTGCAGCTAATTCAGGGCAAACGGGTGAGTGTGGACGGCGCTCTGAGAGGCCGCGGTGCCCTGTGCCCGGTTCTGCCCACAGTGGCTCCACAGCCCCATGTCTCCGCACAGCCACTTAGTGGCGTCATGGTTCTCTGGACACTGGCTCAGCCGGAGCTCCTCGCTCTGGTGCTGTCGCCTGTGATTGCAGTCAGGTGGCAGCGGGGCTGGTGTCAGCAGAAAGTTCAAGAGGCACCTGTGTCCCGGAGAGACTCCTGCCTCACATGTGTGCCACCCCAGCCGGGATGGCTGGCATAGCAGGCCAGGCCGGGCCCCCCCTCGCCACCCCGCTGCTCCTCGCAGCCCGACAGTCTCCGGGTGGACTTCTGACGCGACAGCAGACTTCCCCGGATGAGTGTCCTGAGGGTGGCAGGGGAAGTGGGGAAACTCCTTTTGACCTGGCCTCAGAAGTCACATGGTACCATGTCTACCTCATGCCAACGACTCAAAAGCTAGTTACAGGAGGGTCCAGATTCAAAGGCAGGAGCAAGGATCATTGGGGACGTTGTTGGCACAATCAGTATTTTACTTATCTAATTATTTTTATTTGTCCTTACCATTTCCTCTCTGTGACACCAAAGTTTTTACATTTGATTTTTTTTTGCAGGTTATCAAGGATCCTCCTCCCCCCCCACCCCCTGCACCAAAAGAGGTGAGTGAGTGCCTAAGAAATGATGTAGATGTTTTGCTCTGTTTGGCCAGCTACATTCTTGTTAGATAACTATGACACCCGTGCATTGACTTTGAATTCATGAAAATCAGTCGTTTGTCCTCTTACGATTTTTTCCATGTGCTAGAGGAATGAGTTCTTCACACACTGGTAAACACAGACTGGCTATCGAGATCGACAGCACAGAGAGATTTAATTTACCTCTTATAGCGCTATATCAATAGTTCTGATGTTATTTATTTTGTTTATAAGTTTGAAAATCCAAACTGGCAGTTCAGAGATGTTACTACTTCAAAATTATTTATTATTACAGCAGTCCCCCTTATCTGTGGTTTCTCTTTCTGTGGTTTCAGTTACTTGTGGTCAACTGAGGTCTGAAAATATTAAATGTAAAATTTCAGAAATAAACAATCATAAGGTTTAAATTACATTCCATTCTGAATACAGTGATGAAGTCTACACCATCCCACTCTGTCCTGCCTGGGATACCCTTGTCCAGTATATCTGTGCTATTAGTATACACACCTATTAGTAACTCAGTAGCCGTCTCGGTTACCATATCAACTGTAACAGTATCTCAGTCCTTATGCCCAAGTAACCCTTCTCTTATTTAATAATGGCCCCAAAGTGCAAGAGTAGTGATGCTGGCAATTCAGATGTGCCAAAGAGAAGCCATAAAGTGCTTCCTTTATGTGAAAAGGTGAAAGTTTTCAACTTAATAAGAAAAAACCCCCACAAACCATGCTGAGGTTGCTAAGATCTACAGTATGAATGAATCTTCTATCCATAAAATCTCCTAATTTATAAATTAAACTGTATTATAGGTATGTATGTATAGAAAAAAACATCATATATATATATATATATAAGGTCTGGTACTACCCACAGTTTCAGGCATCCACTGGGGGCCTACTGTCCTTTTATATAACTCTGCTTGTTAGCCAAAATGTGTTAGCAACATGAAATGCGGAATGTACTGGTAGTGTATATTTTCAAAGCTTCTCAGCTATCTATCTTTTTAGTACAAACTTTACAGAATTCAAACTTACACATGCCTTGATGTTTTACATGATTATTGAAATGCTATCCTAATTTTGATGTTTTATCTTTTTAAATATGAAGTGATGATAGGAACAATACAAATGATTCTCATAGCAACGTTTGGTAACCTAGTGAATAAAGGAGATTCCTAAAATTGTGGAAGGGAAGGAGTCGTCTATTCTCTAGAGCTCCAGTGGAAATTTATTCAGTATGCATACATAACATCTACATGTCTCATGGGTAACTTTTACTGCATTTCTTCCATAGCAGTTGCCTTATTCAGAAAAATGCTTAAATGAACCAATTTTGACTAAGCAATATTTTAAGGACTTAATTGAACTAATTTTTAAAACTTGTATCTAAACAGGAGGAAGAAGAACCTCTGCCAAACAAGAAATGGCCAACTGTGGATGCTTCCTATTATGGCGGTCGAGGAGTTGGAGGAATTAAAAGAATGGAGGTTGGTATCTTTTAAAAAAATAGAAGCTGCTAATTTGGAATATATATTTGTAGAACTATTTAGCCATGGAAACTGTACTTTTTATAATTCAATATCACAATACATCCATTTTTTACTTAACACTGGGTCTTTTGGGGATAGATTTTTTTCTATGAAATCATCTTCGCTATTTCAAAACTGTTCAAGAAGAACTGACTTCATTAGTCAAAGGACCACATTGATACAATGTCTGAATTCTAAAGGGCAAAACAAAGTTAGGGTTTTTCTCACTATTTTGGAAAAAATTACTGCAGAGAACATCAACTTTAAAGAAGCCAGCCACTTAAAATTGCAACAATGCTCATCTTTGAAAAGGTCTAATAGTTATGTACTATTTGAGGACAAAAATGTTAAAATGTTCAGTAGTATGGATATGACCTTATCACCAATGTAGAGGAAGCACATTTAAGGCTTTTTTTTTTTTTTTACAGCTTTTAGTTACCACTTATGAACAATCACAATTAATATTAAAACATCAATTATAGGATGTATTGAATTTTTTGACTGACTCAAATTGTGGAATAAATTGAACTTTAATATTATATTTTAAAAATCAGATGAGGTCTTCTTACCACTACACAAATATTTTTCAAAGTGATGAATTAATAAGCAATCATTGCCAGCACTGAGCCCTTAACTAGTTTAGATAGGCCAGCATCTTACCCCAACAAGCAATTGAAGGAATTTTCTCATTGATATATTGACTTTATTATTAAACATAGATCTTGACATTTTTCTCCTTGTTAGTTATTCTTTAATTTTATTTCTTGGTAAGGAATTTTTTTATGCTGTGCAGCCATGGCACATGCCTCCTACTGTGGTATCTGCTTTGTCCCATTACTGCCAGCAAAAATCAGTTAGCTAATTAACAATCTCAAAATTGTTGCAATTTTCTCTTTTTATACACTTCAATAAAATTCAGATTCCCAAGAAAAGTTCCCCCTTTTGAGAATAAATTTCAGTAATTTTCAAAAGTAGCCCAGGCCTACTTAACATGGTTGTCATTATCAAAATGGTTCATCTGATAGTGATTGTCACTTTCTTGAGCACAGTAGATGTTAAAATTAATACACATTTTCCCTAAGAGCTTGCCACTGTATTGCTGAAATATCCTCTGAGACAAGTACCTTATTGCCAATAAGTCATGGAAAAGGCAAGTGCTAGAAGCTATTAAGTTTGTCTTTTGGAGAGGAGATTGCATCTGTGTTTGCGTGTGGGCAGTTGGGAATATCAAGTAGTGTGAAGAGCATAGCTGGGCAGCCCTTGTTGCTTGATCCAGAAGGAAGGTCATTCTCCTTCGGCTTGCCTTTTCTCTGTCATTCTAGGCTTGGAGGGGTGGGAAAGAGGGGATTAGATATTCCTATGTGCATAAAAAATACACTTGTAAATAAAAGTGTTACTTCTGGATACCTAAATATGACCTGACACAACTTATTTTTTGTTTAGTTAGCCTCATTCCAAAATGTATGTGTAAAAAGTTGTGTGCAAGGGGAAAAAATGTTTTGACAGGATATACCACAAAATGTTAGAAAAGTTTTCCCCGGATGGAGTGATTTTCAATTTGTGCTATATATTTCTCCATTTTTTCTTAACTTATTTGACATTAAGCATGCACTACTTATATAGGGTGAGGTAAAAGCAGGTTTACAGTTGTGGGTATGTGAAACACAGAGTTTATTCTTGTATTATTTATTAATTATTGTTTTATTTTCCATACAAACAACTGTGAACCTACTTTTGCCCAACCTTGTATTCAGAATAACCAATTTAATTCCATTTTGAAATCCACACTTGTAAAATACCACATGACAACAAAATATGGGTATATTAGTATGGGATATATTAGTATATTTTAAATGAATAAATGATGTCCTTGCTAAAATATCTAAGAATTATGCCAGATTTTTGCTAGATCAACTTTTCAGTGTTCCAAAGGTTGAAATATCTTTCTAAAGGAAAGAAAAGCATAGTCATGAACCAAATGGTCCTGTGTTAAAGGGCATATTATTGGTTTATGCTCAAGAAAGACAAGCGCTCATGCACATTTTTGAATGACTTGCATTTTAAGTTTTAAGCGTTATTGACTCTTAATATGTGAAATTATATTGCCTGTCCTGTTTAGCTGAGAAAAACTTATGAAAAGGACTCACCTACTTTTAATAAATTGAGGTCCATTTTAGCCTTAGCCTTAATTCTGGCTACATCTCATGGCATATTCCATCAACAAAATGGAAATGGGAACGAGAATGAGAAAGAAGTGAGAAAGTAAATGTGGGCATTACAACGGGGAAACAGTACATAAACGTACATGATAAAAATTGAAGTGAGAATTAAGCATCGTTAAACTTTTTCAAACATAAGCTTATTTAAATTTGGAGAGGGAAAATAGAATATGTAATCTGCTTTAAAATTATTCCTATACAAACCTGGAAAGCATTTCCTTTTAAAAATACATTGAACTGGGGAAAATAAAAAGAATTATAGAAATTATGACCACATCTGAATTCTGGAACAAGTCTTTATAACCAATGTTATTTTAAGCCGGTATAGGGATTATACTTAGATTTTCTTTTTTACTCCTATTTTAAATTAAATATTTAAACAGTATGGTAATGGAAATTTGCAGAAAACTGGAAGTGAGCTGATACTAATAACAGCTGTGTTAGCACAACTGATCCACAGTACCTAGTGACTTCAGCGTGAAACTGTTTTTGTTTTCTTTTCTCGATTCTGAAATTGCTCCTTTATGATATAACCTCCTAGTCATCTAAATATGCTCTGAAAATTATGGAATATTATTCTTTATCATGAAAGCCAAGTACCGTTGGAAGAATTTAGCTATCAAGCTTGTGCTTTTTTTTTTTCTTTCTTCACAGTAAAAATATCCAGGTATATAAACTGTGCTAAGGCTCCCTTTAGCAATCTGTTCTTGTCATTCTTTTATCCTTTCTGAACATCTCAATATGGTCAAACAGAAATATGAAAATTTACACATATACTTGCATGTATATTTAATTGCTTTAAAGAGTTTTAGGAAAATTCTGTAAAGTTAGACTTTGAGGTTAAGTGAGAATTTTTTTTTTGTCACTTGTGCTGACTGTGATGATGATGAAACAGCTATTTCATGAACTAACACTAGTAGATTTATTTAATGAGTTTTCTGTAGAACTCAGCAACTGTATTTCATAAGTGTAGTGCCTTGATAGCTGAGTTCCTGGAAATGCCACATTGGGTCAGAACCCCAGTTTAACTAGCTTTGTGTCCTTTATCTGAGAATGGTATCAATGAAACTTGGTGGGAAAATACGATACCATTACCTCTGTGACGTCAGCTGTGAAGATTAGGCTGAGGAGCTGTTTATGTTAAAATCTATAATTTCTGAGTAGATCTAAAGTGTATGTTCTTATATTTCTATTCTGAATTACTTCTCTCAGTTGTGATATTTATATGTTTACTTAACTGTATGTCTTTTTCCATTTTTTGTCTTTTCTCTTAAAATTGAGACTTTATAACTGCGAGGATATATATCCTGATATTATGGTTTTGTAGTTCAATTTAGCTATTTCTAAAGATTCTAGAAGTTTTAGTTTAGCTAACTGAAGACGCTGTGATTTTAAAGAGAAGGTCATTTCTCTGGAAGGAGAGCCAGCTATCTAGTTCTAAAGGTTTAACGGGGTTTAAAACAATTTTAACAACCTCATAAAGAACATTCTAGTACCACTGATCACACTGAAAGAAGATACAGATACATCTTAATGACTCAATGGGGTCCAATTGAAATTGAAAGCCTATTCTAAAATTGTAGTAAAAAAGGGCAAAAACATCTAAGTAAGCCTTATCAAAAAACTGAATAGTTCTTTCTACGAACAGTGATCTGTATTCCTACCCACTAACTCAGGTCATTAAAACGCTTTAAAATGGACTTAATCATTTTTTCTTTGTAGAATTCACTTAGCTCTGATGAGCCAGTGTGCCCTGGACAGGCCTTCCTATTTCTTTTTAGAGCTTCATTTATGATATCTCTGTCATCTTTGGGGATGTCCTTGGATTTTGGACTTCTCCATCGCTCTTGGTTGGACAAAGCCTTCCTCTAGGGGCCACATCCTATTCACATGCTCACACGTGAACTGAGCTGTTAATGTGTGAACATGTAAAAGTTTGGCTCAGATTTAGCTCTTATTTCTTGTTCATTATAAAATAAAGAAAACAATCAGTTGACCCTGTGGTTTTTCAATGTCCAGAATTTTCAAAGAACAGAATTAAATTTGTGGAATTCCCTGGTGTCCCTGAATTTTTCTTTCCAAAGCAAAGGTGTTTTTTCAGATTTGTCTTCCTCAGTGAAAAAAGGGAATGTCAAGTAGCCATACTCAGATGAGAACAGGACCTAAAGACTGAAAGTTACTTTATAAAGCCAAACTTTATAAAAGTAAGGAAAAATCATATATAATTATTTTACTTCTGAAGACTAAATCACGCATTTTGCCTTAATCGACCTTTATCAAAAGTTTGGAAGGAACAAATGAACTCCTTTGTGTAAAATACATTTATAAAATTCAAACCTATTTGAAGCTTATTAATCTATTTTGGACTACCTGTATTCAAACCCTTGCCCTGCTGCTTTACTAGCTGAGTGCTTTGGACATGTCAGCTAACCTCTCTGTGTCTCAGCTTCCTCACCTGCAAGGAAAAAATCGCCTGCAAGTAACTATATCGGTGCATTTTTGTACGGATTAAATGCAGATTGGCACGTAGTAAGCATTCAGTAAATGCTAATTATCATCTGTTTCCCTCAGTGCCATCAGTATGTATGGGTATGTGTTCAGCTGGAAGGGGACCCTACCTAAGTGGATAATAGGATTCACACTGTCATGCACTTCATATGTAGACGGCAAATGAACTCCTTATTTGAAATAATGGAGAAACGGTTGCTTCAAATTTTAACTGACTTCAGGTTTATACAAAGGCTTTTCTCCTTCCTCCTGGAATCTTACTGTTGAGTCCGTAAGTAAGGGCGGTAAGCCTGTTAAACCTGGGGAGGGGAGGCATTTAGCGTCGGCCACCCACTCAGCTGCCTCTCACTCTGCGGGGGAGCTGAAGGACCGCGGCTAAAGCAGAACCTGTTTTTCTAACACACCGTGTGTCTGGTATAACTTTTTCCTTTGTTTGAAAGGTTCGCTGGGGCGATAAAGGATCTACTGAGGAAGGTGCAAGGCTAGAGAAAGCCAAAAATGCTGTGGTGACAATCCCCGAAGCAGAGGAGCCTGTCCGGCCGCGGCCACCGCGGCCCAAGCCCTTGCACCAGCCTCCGCAGACCAAGTGGTACGCGCCCATCAAGGTACGGTCCGAGTTGCGTGCAGTCTAGGGGAGCTTTCCCCCGGGGCCGGGTCTTGTCTCCCCACCCGGCCATCCGAGCGGGGACAGGGCCACCGGGTACCTGCCCGGCAGCAAGGCCCCTCGCCTCGTGACCTGCTTATTCGTTAGCTTAGTTTATGAGATACACCAGAGCGGGACCTAGGCCGTGCCTCGTCATCTTGCTCATTCATTCAGCCGGCGGAGGCGGAGTGTGTCCCCTCGAGATTTACAAGTCGTGTCCCCTCCAGGGTCGGCTGGACGCGCTCTGGGCTTTGCTGCGGCGGCAGTATGACCGGGTCTCCCTGATGCGGCCCCAGGAAGGAGACGAGGTTCGTATGCGGGGATGCGCTGGGAAGGGCTGGCTGCTTGCGTCCCTGCAATGAGAGCAGTGGAATAATAACCTAAAAGACTTTAAAGCCCTCATTGCCCTCGAGGAAGGAATTATCATCTTGTGCAAATTCCTGTTCCCTAGGGTGCTTAATAAATTATCTACTGGTGAGCACATCTTCAAGGTACAGTTTAACAAGTCCCTTTTCAAGTAATGCGTGAAAAATTGTGGTCCATTGTACGCAAGCTTTAATAAGCCCACTCACTGCTTCAGCCTTTAACTGGATGGCATCACATTCTGAAGTTCTACCCGCTGGGAGGACAGGCTGGGGCTTAGGAACTGAAGTCTCTCCTTACCATTTACTGGCCAGCGAGGCCTGGAGAGCATGCCTCAGAGCCTCCATTTCTTTACGTATAACTATTGATATTTCCCTGCTTCCGACAGTTGACATAATCTTACTTCTTGAACTTATTAAAATGCCTTTAAAAAATTATAGAACTATATATATATATATATATATATATACACACATATATGTATAAAAATATATAAACACACACGTGTGTGTATGAATTTTTTTTTTTTACCAAGGAAACCTGTTTGAAACTTTTTTGTTTTTGACAATTTGTCTATAATTACTACAGTTTTATGATTTCTTTACTATATTAGCACTATTTGCTATTGTATCAAAGCAAGAAAAATTGTTTAAAACCTTTTGATATGTAACAATGGCAGGTTTGGTTTAGAAACACACCACTTTAGTGATAACAGCAGGATTTCTTCATTATGTGTCAGAAAGTCCATGGATTTCATTCACGTCACCTTCAGAGGATTTTAGGTTCATCCAGGTCCAATATGCTATTTTTTTTTTAAGATGAAATAATCGATGAGATTCATATTTATTTTACAGTGCTAAGCTAAATTATATTTAGTATTATATTATTCTTTCTTGGTGTTTAAACAATGAAAACATCTAAATCTTCAGATTTTACTTTTATGAGATGGGGTAATTTTAAAAACATCTGAGTTCAACCATTTAGGAAATCTGATTTGAGAAAATATTTCTGGAATATCCCCAGCAGATCACTCACCCTTTGCTAGGACCACAGGTAGAGAGAACCAGATGGTTTATGAAGCAGCCCCCTTCATTACCAGGCCACTGTGGTTAATAGAATGGTCTTATATTTAATGAAATCGATGCCTCTGTCTAAATGCATGCATGGTTTGGAGTTCTGCTTCTGGAACAACATATAACAACTCTACTTACCTTTAACATGCTGGACTTTCACTTTATGTTTTAAAATCATTTTCATGATGTCTTAGCTTTATGCTACCTCAGTTTTCTCTCCCTCGTGTTAGACGTTAGTTCAGTTGTTCAATAATTTCACCTTTTTAAGTTTTGGGAATTGCTAACACTGAAGATATATTGGCCGGCAAATCAGACAGTGCTTCCAGCACTCTTGCCAATACTTTATATATTCTTTTAACTCTCATAATTAAAATCTTATTTTTTGCCCTAGCCCGTTCAGCTCAGTGGTTAGAGCATTGGCCTGAGGACTGAAGGTTCCCGGGTTTGATTCCTGCCAAAGGCACGTTCCTTGGTTGCAGGCTTGATCCCCAGCCCTGGGTCGGGGTGCGTGCAGGAGGCAACCAATTGATGCATCTCTCTCACATCGATGTTTCTCTCTTCGTCTCTCTCTTTTTCTCTCTCTCTCTTCCCCCCTCCCACTCGCTCTGAAAAGCAGTGGAAAAAGTATTCTTTGGTGAGGATTAAAAAAAATAATAACAAAATTTATTTTTTAGTCTTTCAACATTTCTACTAATTTTGATTTAATTCAATAATTTTAAAATTATAAATATGTACAAGTAATGGCATCAGATAGTAATAAGGCGGCAGTAGGGTAGCATACAGACTGTAGCCTTTGCCCTTAAGAAACCTGAACTTTGTTTGGGAAACAAGACATACATAAAATTCATTCCAGAGTGTGATCTTAGTGCATACAGCTAGAGAGATTAACTCTTTCTGGAGGAATCTGGGAATGCTTCTTCAAAAACATAGGCCTCATGTCTTTGAAAATAGATAGGACTTCATCCGGTGGAATTAGGCAGGAAGATCATTTCTGTTGGTGAAGCATCATGAGCAAAACCTCCAAGGCAGCCAAGAATAGTGACTTGTGGATTACTAGGTAGACTGGAGGTTGGGGGTTAAAGCCAGAATAGGTCGGGAACAGAAGAGTCTTTGAGTTTGGATAAGTTGGCATATTTGGTTTTTTAATGATGCATTACTCTTGTTCATTCAACAAATATTTATGTAGTGCCTAGCATGTGCTAAGAACTTTGTTAGATACCAAATAAACTTAGCATTCTTCTTAAATTATAGTGCTGGAATATTCACCTATTGTCCCAACAGGGTTAAGTTAGTATGTATTTTTCCATGATTGAAAACTAATGCCTCCATTATTTTGACCAAGAATTCCTTCGATTTTTAATAATTGGGCATACTGTCATTTAAGATAGTCCCAAAGTCTTCTTTTCTAACCCTTAAAGTCAAATTGTTTCAAAATTCAGAATTTTTTAGATTTTAGGAATCTAATATAGTCCATATATTATACTTGTCTAAAAGCACCTCCTAATAATTATTCAGATATTTTGCTACAAAAGTATTAATTGCTAAAAGTGGATCAATATAGACTATAATTAGTTTCAAGTTAGTTCAGGTCAGGTTTAGCTTCTAAATGAATTTTAATGACAAAGTTTGCACAAAACTATGTTTTCAAAGATTTTGTATTTCAAAAGTTTAGATAAAATATAGTAGACCTTTATTATGTGTGATTAATTAAACTAGTTTTTCCACTCTATCCCTATGCATGCTATTTATGATTTTTTGTTTGTTTTTACTTAAGTACAGGACTTTAAGCTTAGTAAACATCAATTGTTGGTTCAATTAATTAATTTGCTATTCTGTCAAATATGTATTATGATTCTATGTGTGCTTGACACAGTCTGACTTAATCTTTCTTCATAATACCTATTTTTGATAGCTTTACTGCTTCCAACATTTTTTCACCTGCAAATTTTTGTCATTGATTTCAAGCCCCTCTAACAACCTCAGTGTGGCACTCAATGAGAGCTTTTCTCACAGGCTGACAGTTAACTGACATTTGTATGGTAAAGCTAGGCACCACCCAACAGTATAATCTCAGATTACCATTTTATTCACAAGGCTGTTTAATAAATTTTGTTAAATTATTTGCTGAATTTGAGGTATAATGTATATTTATGTATTCCCCCATCCAACCAACCAATGATACAAAATTATTTGATCATGGAAATCAGGTAAGCTTGCTATGAGTTGCTCTTTTGCCTCTGTTCTTGCTAGTGAACCTTTACAATATTATTTTTTTAGGCTGGGGTTTGATACATAGTCTGTAGTTATCAGCATATATCCTTTACCTTTAGACTACTTGGGAAGTCTTTCCCCTCTCACCTCCTCTGTTTGTTTCACATCTCTCGTTTTTCATGTTTCACAAAGATTATTAAGAATGTGTTTCTGTCAGCTTCACATTATCAACCAGGTCTTCTTTATTTGATAGAATTAATTCCAATGTAAACTTCCCATCCTATATACATTCATAACTGTAACCTGTATTTTTCAGAGATTAAATGATAGGATTAGCAAGAATCATTTTGATACTTTAGCAGGATTAGTGTTCTGTATCCTAATAATGTAAGATAACTGAGGAGTTCCAATATTTTTTATATGCTTACATTATGTTTCAGAAAGCCCTCATCTTGCTTTGGTTATGTGGTCTCTAGAATGCTTTTCCTCCCTCCCTTCCCTCCTTCCTTCTTTCCATCCATCTTTTTTCTTCTTTGTCTCTTGAGCACATTGATCTCTACTATGCTTTCACATTCAGGTTTGCTAATTTCTTATACTAGTCAATGCATTTCTTACATGCTATGCTAATTTTCTTCTTGGCTTCATTCAGATGAAGACGTTCAGTTGCTCTAGTCTCATCCTCAAGAGCACAGTAAATATTGTTATTGACAAGGCCTTCCAGGTGACTCTGATACTTGTGCCAAAAAGAATCTGCACTAACCACAGACACTTAATCATAGTAAATATTTTGGTGGATTTTATTTAAAAGCCTTTACAATAACTGAAATCCATCAAATATTATCCAAAACAGTAATATTTATAATTATTTGTTTGAATAAAATCACAATTGCATGGTGTAACTATATAATCTGTACTGAGATTCCAACATCTCACAAATTCTATTTTATAAAGCGGGAGCATATATTTCTTAAATGCCAGTACTTTTTGCTTTAGAGTATTTTTCTTTTGAGAAACCTAAAGTACTCAGATCAAAAATGAAGCACTAGACATAGAGGGAGACTCAGGGAGTGGAGCACACTGGACACAGCTAACTGGTGTATGATAAAAAAATGGGATGATCTGCTTTGTTAGTGCTTTATCTGTGACTAAGGAGACCGGGGTTCACAGTTACCTCCTACTTACTGCATCTAGTTAGTTAAACCCTCAAAAGTGAAACCGCCTGAACTCTATGGTTTTCACCAAATTTGCTTCTGTATTTGTCTCATAGGATTACATGGGGTAGAGAACATTTTAAATTTAGGAGACTAGGATGCCCAAGTGGAGTGTCCTCTTCTCTAGCTCTGTGTGTTGAATTTTCTAGGTAGCCGGGGCATAATCATTGAATGAGAAAATTAGTCTCAAAGTTGTTTTGACTGCTCTTTAGATAACCACACTCACCTGTGATAGGGCTCCAAAGCGTAAGGACGGGTAAAACCTTGTCTTCACCCTACTCCCCTAAAACCAATCAGTGCCTGATTAAGTTAAACACTGAACTCAGGCTCCTCATGAAAGGTTTCATACATGTGCATGTGTTCACACACACGTATATGAGATGCTCATTGTCCTCTGAAACTGTTATCACTTTTATATCACAGATCTATTTCTCCCATTAAATGTTCCCA